CAAATTGTTTCCTATCTTCTGATTTGGCTATCTACCAATGATTTTCTTATAAACTTCCGCGTAGCAATGTTGACTTGATTCTCTGGCGTCCCGTAATCAAGCTTCGAGAACATTCTCGATTTTCAGCCAATGAGACCTTCTCAATGTCTCAGTGTGACAACATAAACAAAATAAGCATATTACTAGAATTTAATTTTAGCCAATCACATTGTAGATACATATAGAATATGCATCTGGCACTTCAATACCTGACAGAGTGTAAATGACAGCACTCCGTCACACGACCTCCCTTCGAGAAAGAGCCTCCCCTAAAAAGGGTTCTCTCTCTTCTTGGACTTCCAATAGAGGTCAATGAGACCAGGGATTTGTTTTTGATTCTCAACAGGTTCCCGCGTGGCCTCTTTCTTGGTCTCGCCTAGCCACCAAATCTTGTACTGCGGTTTGCCCTTGTACTTGCGGTGGTTGATCACGGCTTCGATCAGTTGCCCTTCAGTTCCGTCGGCTAACACAACCTTGTTCACCTGCTGCCTGCGCTTTGGATCTTTGCGGTACGTTTTCAACAGTGAAGTATGGAAAACTGGATGCAACTTCAGGTTCTTCGATAATCCCAACTCATACGAGTCTCGAGATACCTTCTTCTGGACCAGAAAAGGTCCAATGAACCTCGGAGCTAACTTCTTCGACTGTGCGTACCCCTTGTGACGGATATCCAAATTCTTTCCGTCTAGTAGCACCATGTCGCCAATCTTGAAGTCTTGGACAAATCTGTTCTTGTCGTAATAATGCTTCATGCGCTCCTGTGCTTCACTCATACGGTCTTGCGCGACCTTGAGGAAGGCTTCTTGTCGGAGTAAGAACTCTCTTGCTGCTTTCTCCAACTTCTTGAACTCTGGATCTGACACTACATCGTCGGGCATGTATGGAATATACCCAAGATCCGCTTCAAACGGTGACATACCAATCGTAGCATGCACGCGTCGATTATACGCGAACTCTGCCCAATGAAGAAACTCATCCCAATCATTTTGGGCTGGGTTGATGACTCCTCGGAGATAATCTCCGATAAAACGGTTTGTACGTTCCGTTTGTCCATCCGTCTGTGGTCTGAATGCCGATGAAAGGATATGCTGCGTTCCCATAGCAGTGATAACTGCCTGCCAAAACTTGGACGTAAATTTGGAGTCACGATCAGACAAAATTGTTTTCGGAAGGCCATGATCTTTTACATAACTCTTCATGAAAACATTCGCAATATCCTCTGCGCTGTCTGTCGTCTGCGTTGCAATAAACTTTGCACGCTTGGTCAATCGATCCACGATGACCATGATGGCATCACAGTCATCCTTGCTGGGAGGTAGAGACACAACGAAATCCATCGAAATGTCGACCCATCTACCCCGTGGTATCTCCAGCGGTTGAAGCAATCCTGGGATCTTCGCCTGCCTCGCCTTGTTGCGCTGACACATTTCACAAGTGTTCACATAGCGCTGGATATACTTCATCATCTTCGGCCAGTAGTACTTCTTAAGTACTGCGACATAGGTCTTGTAATACACTGGGTGGCCAGCCGTGACTGCATCGTGGTTCTCACAAATGACTCGATTCTTCAGATCTTCGTCATCTGGAATATACAGTCTAGGACTGTCATCTTCACGCGTCTGACAGTACAGCACGCCATGATCTAGTGAGTAATGCGGAACCTTTTCTCCTAGCTTTAGCTTCTTGACAATTCCCTGCAAGTCCTTGTTCCACGAATACATCTTTACTGCGGACTGTGCCACGGTCATATTGTTCTCGACCATGGTTGCCACAATTTCACGGTTTTGAGCTGTATCAAGAAGTTCCTTCAGGCTCACTTGTGCAGCCTTATGCTCGAACTCAGGATTTCTCGACAACGCATCTGCGACTACATTCGTCTCTCCTGAAATCCACTTGAAAAGAGGCTGAAACTCAGCGAGTTCGTTAAACCACCGCGCAATGCGTCGATTCGTCGTCTTCTGCGTGAGGATCATCTCAATACTCTTGTGATCTGTTTCCACCAGGAATGGCTTGTCGAGAAGATACACGCGCCATCGCTTCAACGCCTGCATAATAGCGAGTAGTTCCTGTTCGCGAACTAGGTAGTTCAGCTCTGCTGGTTTCATTTTTCTGCCCGTAAAGGCTATTGGATGTTCTAACTCTCCCTCCTTTTGAAATAAGACTCCCCCAATTGCGAAGTTTGAGGCGTCCATTCGAATACCGAAAGGTTTGAAGAAATCAGGAAGGCTGAGAACCGGAGGTGATGATAAGCGCTTCTTCAGCTCGTCAAAACAGCGTAGTTGGTTCTCATCGAGTTCGATAGCATCTCGAGAACGTTTTCCCTTGATACATTCCTGCAAGGACTTGCGAACTGCGCAAAATCTTTGCAGAATCTCGAAACGTAGACAGTTGTCCCTAAAAAGCTTTCCATTTGCTTCTTAGTCTTCGGGACTGGCCACTCGGCGATAATCTTCACCTTATCTGTGTCCATTCGAACGCCGTTGCGTCCGACAAAGTCGCCTTAGCATGGAATCTCATCCACACAAAATTGGCATTTGGACAGTTTGATGTAAAGTTTCTGTTCTTCACATCGTTTCAATACTCTGTCCAGCGCGGCAATGTGGTCATTCACATCTTCACCCTTCGTGAATAAGTAGATATCATCGAAGTAAATCCGCGCCACGTCACTCAAATCCCTGAAAACTTCTGTAACAAACGATTAAAGGTTCCTGGACTTTCACTCAGTCCCATGGGTGTGACGAGATATTCAAAAAGACCTTCTGGGGTCGAGAAAGCAGTAAATGGTATATCTGCTTCTCGTAACTTGACTTGGTAATATCCCCAGAGCAAGTCCATGCACGAATACCAATAGCTACCGGCCATCGCATCAAAGGTATCTTCCTTGCGAGGCATTGGGATAGCTGGTAAAATCGTCGCCAAATTCAATATACGATAATCGTGCACAATACGCCATCCGACTGGTTTCTTCACACAGAAAGTCGGTGCACAAAATGCTGACGTACTTGGTCGAATGATGCCAGCCTGAACCATCTCTTTGGTCCATTCCTGAATCGTTTTTCTCTGATCAGGACTTTGGCGCCATTGTTTAACCGAAATCGGTTTAGTACCGGGTTTGAGCAAAATCTCGTGCTCAATTCCTTCCCGTACTGGCGGTGTCTCATTCGGAAGTTCCGTACGGAAAATCGTATCCGCATACTTCAGTAACGTCTCATACGCCGAATTATCCTTGAGAGCATCCCATCCTTGACTCTTGAAGCGTTCAGCCTTCTTCGAATCATGCGGATTAATGACAAATACTGCCTCAATATCCTTGTCCTTACGCAACATCTGCTGGAACTGCTTGGACGAAGTCATCTTCGTTCGCCCAAACTGGCCGTTGTGGCCATGCTGCCGATAGTAATTGAAGATCTCGCGACTCTGCGCAATTCTTGTGCGGCGTTTTCCTGCCACCCAACGGGTTGGATGTGTCTTCGGCAGTTTCAAATTCATAGTCTGCGTGTTCTCCGTGTTGATGCGAGGTGCTATCTGTCCAGTACTCCAGTCGATATCAGGGTTCTGCTCCCGCAGCCGCATCATGCCCAAAGTGACGTCCTTTCCTTCAGGAACGGGCACGACTTGGAATGTTCCCGCTATTAAGGGAAACCCTGGCAACTGCAGCGACATCTCTACAGTCCGACGTGGACGATGCACAACTTGATCTTAACCGAGATCAACTTGCATCATGTCACCTTCAGTGACATCCAACTTAAGCTTCTTCACCAACTCCTCAGTTATGCCATTTAGGCTACCGCCGTTGTCAATGAATATCGTGACGGGCCTCTCTTGGTCTTCCGTCTTGAATGCTCGAGCTTCAGCCTCTAGGATCGCATACACTGCGCCCTGCATGTACCGATTCGCATCAGTACGTTTTGGCTGAGTACAATCTGGAGAAATGTGACCAATCATGCCACAATTTCTGCACGTAGCTGTCTTCTTCCAATCATCGCTCTTGCCTTTCTTATTGTCGGAGCGCTTTGTATTCTGCTGCGTCGATTTAGGCACACGATGCCCCGAGCCTGACGATCCTTGCGAACCCTTCGCAGGAGCGCTTGGGGGTTTTCCCGAGTAGCGCGCAAACTCAAAATTCGACGCAATCTCAATGGCATCTTGTAGTGTCGAAGGACTCTCTTCCTTGATCTTCATTGCTGTCTCTTCTCTTAAACCGTTCTGAAGGAAGAAACGCTTCTCCAACTCGCTGATAGACAACTCAGTCTGTGATAGCAAGTCTTTAAACTTGGGGACGTAATGATGGATGGTCTCATTCTGCCTGAGACGAAACATTCTTTCACGAAGATCGTATTCGAAGCCCTTCGGTCTGAAACGAGTGCGAAGCCTTCCTTTTAAGAGCGACCATGTGGGCTGTACGTTTGTACCCTCACACTCAGCGATGAACGCTCGATACCAATTCAGCACTGATTTGCCCAAGTTGCTGGAGATCATCGTCACAAAATCGGACGATTCCGCCTTCATCAACTTGCGTCTGTTTGCGTAGTACTGCTCGGTGGCGAAGATCCAGAACTCAATATCTTCGCCATATTTGCCTTCATACATAGGCGGATCCTTCTTCTTCTGCTCACCCCTGGACGCAACTAGATATTCGAATCTCACATTGGCTTGTTGCATTTGGGCTTGCATTTGCGCTTGCATCTGAGCTTGATACTGCTGTTGCTGCTGTGTTAGGTATACTAGCAGTTGCTGCATGGACATGGTTTCAGGTCCAGCCGCTTCTTGAGCAGCATCCGTAGCAGAGGGGGCCGACTCAGCCTGTGCATCAGCACTGTCCCTTACACTTGACGCTTGCGATCTTGTACTTGTTCGCATCGTAGGTTGGGTATCTTCAATGTCGCTCGGAGCTCTTACACGGCTCTGTTGACGAGGACGAGGGTTCGGTGACGGGCGCTCAGCTGCACAACTCCTTCTTTGGGCCACTACAAACTGGACTTCTCAGCGCAAGTCTCTAAAGATACCAGAACCCTAAACCGAAGTTAAAGGAAGCGAAAAGAGTTCCGATTAAAGTTCTTTCCTACAATCTACGTCTCTTGTCTACGTGGATTGAGTGATCGAAGGATCCTTCAAGAATTTCTTGGGTTTGCTCAATACGCTTTTTAAGCAATTCGCTGAAGTCGTGGATGACGTTCCGGGCGGCTGCGTCCTTAGAATCGGGATTTCGTTTCGGATCAGGCGGACGAGCTTAAGTTGCTTGACCGTTGTTAACCACAAGTCTAGACGAAGCTGATCAAGCTGTTTGTCTCGATCAGTCAATGACTCTGTGTTGTTTACAAACGGATCTTCGGGTTGGCGATTCTTTCGCTTACACATAAACAAGCACACTGAAACAGTTACAGTAGCAACGGATGTAGATCAAGCACAACCAAGTGAGTATCTAATCAGACGTTCGCTCCGTGATTTCTGAAGCGGGACAAGGATCCACGTAAAACGTGAAAGCGTTAAACCGTAGGCCAACAGAAGGAGTTCCGATTGTGTGTACCACACTAGTGCGCAACCACACCAACTATCCACTAAACGTAACAGTTCGTGCTGAGGTTATACCCTTTGCGATCTAGTGCTTCCCCGACTATGCGGCTGGCACCAATAACCACAGGACAACTCGCTTCTGGCTATGCCACCACGAGTGCCCTACTTGAACCGAAGCTTGACGCGACGAGTGCTACTATATGACACAGTAACGTGATGAGGCGTTGAGAAGAAGCCGTGCCGAGACGTGGACCGGCGAAGTGAAGAACCAAGGCGTGGCCAGTTGATTGACCACTGAGGGTTGTTTGGTAAATTGAGAAGTGTGATTTAAACAAATTGCTTCCTATCTTCTGATTTGGCTATCTACCAATGATTTTCTTATTCACTTCCACGTAGCAACGTTGAATTGATTCTCTGGCGTCCCGTAATCAAGCTTCGAGAACATTCTCGATTTTCAGACAATGAGACCTTCTCAATGTCTCAGTGTGACGGCGTAAACAAAATTAGCATATTACTAGAATTTAATTTTAGCCAATCACATTGTGGATACATATAGAATATGCATCTGACACTTTAATGCCTGACAGAGTGTAAATGACAGCACTCCGTCACACCCCATGCTTATCGCTGATAATAGTTGCCTGACATAGCGCGATGTAACTCAGTCGATTAAGATTCAGGGTAACAGTGCTGGTTGCCAAGGTGTAAATCTATTGTATCTTGTGACCGGTGAGCAAGAGCTAACATTTGATAGACTAAAGGGGAAGCTCAACCTGTTTCGCGTCTAATCAACAAGATATTATTAGCCAAGCAGTATGACAATAATTCGATTAAGCCTTCGAGAAATACATGTCGCTCGACTACATGGCTAATTGGAAATATCGTTTTTACAGTAGTAATCACATGAAAACTCATTTGTGAAAGGGTGTTAAGCCTTCTGATCTCTACAACAAGCTTGAGAACATTCTTTCACTTAAATGATTTTGGTTAAGGTAAATATTGTTGTCGGGTTTGAACTTGTACGCACGACTAATCCTGACGACATTCTACCCAAAATCTCGCTGATACTCACATATTCATTAACTCTATCGCTATCCACAGCAAGGTCGATTTTCAGAAGAAGATGAAGTCGAAAAATCGTTTAATGGAAATGGCTATCAAATTGAACTATTCCAGCTCCGGGTACAAGCTAAAGGCGATCACTGCATCCAAGATTTTAAAACAAGCATGTGAACAACAACCTTGTTAATACTAACAACAAGTGTGTCTTCACTTTATAGATGGCTTACAATCCAGAGCCCTAAGAAAAGAATTCTTGAAGAATTCTGGCTCAGGTGAAAGAGGCATTCAATAGCTACTGTTCGTGCCAGGGAACTAAAAAAATTGGTTAAGTGTATTGAAGTGTTTCAAGTTGATTAATCTGCCAAAGTTCAATGAGGCCGAAACTGCTTCCAACTTGGTATTTACGTATATAGAATGGATGTTGTTTTGGGAATTGTAGAATACATGCGTAGATCGGACAAGAATTATAAAGCAATGGATATTTTATCCTTCGTGTATCATACTCTTCACATCAAAAACATCGATATGCTTCAGGCTAAGCATCAATTTTCCAAGTGTAAAATGGCTTCGTCAGCGATAGCTGCAGCGCTTGGAATTCTCCAATTGGTGAGCCGAGCTGCTGATTGAACAGGTTAGATACCAAAAACAGATTTAGTGCGAGATTCTGAATATCAAAAGCTTTCTAGCTAAGCCATTTATCTACAAACCGGCTCAGAGCGCGATACGATAAATTATTACGACGTAATCAATCAAGAATGCTAACTAGTACATAAATCACGTCATTGTTCACGACTTTGATGCCATCCTTAAGTCTACTACAACTCGACAGAGAAGAATACTATCTTCGCGAACGAAAACATTTCCGTGCCTGTGGTATCTATATAGCTGATAGTTTTGTCGAGGAGGTGCGTTATTTTGTAAATGATGATCCGAAGATGCTACTTGCCCATATGTTTCAATATATCGGTGATGCATCCGTGAAGATCCATTAGTACAATGCCAATAAGTACATCACATTTCTACAAAAATCGTCAGCTTACACGGTCTGACAGATATGGAAATATAAGTAGTCGATATTGTTAAGCCTTACAAGATGTCTGCTGTCGAGGGTTGAGATGATCAAGAAAAGCTTCTTCGACTCTAACTGCAGTCTTGGATGTGGTAAGCAAAGGCCTGACTTTGTAGAACTAAAACAGCAGCCCGATCAGGTACCTTTATTCGATTTCAATTCTGGTCGATATGATACTAAGAAGAAAGATTGTTTGCTATTATTGGCGCCGACAACATTTAAACTGTCATCGAAAGTCGAGCATAAAAATGCTTGATTTTAAAGCTATGTACCAGCTGATACCCGCCAAGTTAAATATCTTGCAAGATATCTCGGTGTCTTTAAATGCTTTGACAAAATTAGATGTGTCTGTGGTCTTGGTAAGGTTCTTTATCCTGACGAGTACATGACTGCATTTATTGTACTAAATCAGACTACCATCCCGCTTAAGAGATCTTTTGACAGCAAGCTCTGAGGAACAAATGTCATCATGGATAACTACGAACGAGTAAAGTACGTGTGGGAGTGCATCGAGATGAAATCGATTACTCGCTTCAATAAACTCCAATATCCGGGTGAGAAGCCGGTTAATGCATTTTAAATTCCGGTTAGGCGTATGTGAGGGCAAAAAAATAGGATACCAAGGCAAAGCAAAAAATTGGTATACTATAATACAATGCTGCAGAATAATACTCTCTATGTGGTGTATGCTACCGCCAGCTGACTGTTGACACCTGTTTTCGCTGACCATATCAACACTACGCTTGGCTACATTGACGGCAACATCTTGACCAGCTATGTGAGATGCAACTCCACGCGTAAAAATATGTCCCTCGGGAAATCTTGATCATAATTTGTTGATTTCAACTTGTATAGTCATGTATATTGTTTTGGTTGGAAGAAAAAGGATATCGACGCTAAAATGAAGCTAACATCCCTGTAGGTCTATCTTTCATCTTTAATCGCTACGCTAAGCGTGCTGAAACCAATATTCGCGATTGTAAGGTATAATGAAAAAAAATCGGATTCGATGCTAACACTCTGTATCTTTGGGCTCTTGTTATTAAGATGTCATACGGTCGATTGACTACTGTTGAAGCTTATGAAGGTATCATCGACGACATCAACGCCGATAAATATTTGGCTTCCCTGAATGCAATATTCGTGCAACACAGCATCTACAAACTACTTCAGCGATTTGACCCCATTTCCAAGAATGTACTAATCGATTGTGCCGACGAAAGTGGCATTAGCATGTTTGATTACAATAAGACGCGCATGCACAGCCTAGCAAAGAGTTGGTTAGTAGCTATTTTGGTGAAAAGGATACTTGTCTATACTCCTTAAGTGGTACCTTTCTCATGGTTTGAAGGCCACCTAGACTTGCTGCTTTTTCAAGGCCAGCTCTCACATCCCTTGATCGAAGCTGCATCGAATGCCTGACAAAAGGTGATGTAAATAAGGCTAAGGCTATGATTGTCGAGATGATGGAAATAGTAGCTTTTGGTGAATTTGGAAGATACAAGCGCAAGTATAAAAATTAAAGTATGAGTCAAGCGACCCAGCTATTAAGAACAAGATGAAATACTTTTCTTTCCATGAGTAAGAAGATATTAATGATACATGTGATATTGAAGAAGCCCTTCTGATTTGTTCAAAGTTGAATAGCCAGGTGATGCTATGGTATCACAATCGAGTAAGAAATAAATTTGCTATCTACCTAAAGCATCTTATATATTGAAAGTTTAAGCGAAGGATATTCAGCAGGAAGGTGCTCGAAACAAAAGTGTTATTAATCCTGATGGATAAAAGACTGTCTCTTGATCGCATCAAGCTAAAAGGTACAAACAAGGTTTTCAGATAGATTAAAGATGTTGAGGTGTTGTGACGCCACGTCACAGATTTGTGTACGGTGCACAATGGCAACTTGCAAATTGAAATGGAACCTTCTAGAAGATCAAGTTTACAAGGTTCAAGAACATGCGTTAGTGATTAGGAGCTGGTTGGGGTTCTGGTAGCTAATTTCCATTCTGCGCTGCGAGTAACAAGACATCGTTAAGGGGAGATCAAATCCACCATTACCAACGCTCAAACCAAAATAGCGCTAAGAACCATAATGACAACCGTCGAGAACTTGGAGCTGGTATCACTACCGAGCCGCTTGATATAAAACAACTACCCGAGTGGGAACCTTTTTGCATCATTACCATTTAGAGCTATGGATCAGCTACTGTCA